CAACGACAACGACAACGACAACGACAACGACAACGACAACGACAACGGCACACGAACGGAAAAGTGTCTCAAAAAGTGGTTTTCTACGCGTTTCATGAGTTTTTATAATGATCTAAACCAATTTTGCGAAAAAAGTTTTCGGGACCAATTCCTATATAGCGGACGCTCGGAATTCTTAAGTAGTTTGTCCTTGGGCAACTTAAGTTTTCCGAATTCTTAAGATTTCTGGACGGTTTTCAAAATTAACATTTTTTAAAGAAAAACACCAATATATTACAATGCTATATGTTTTTTGCTTTTATTAATGGTTTTTCGAAGCATCATAGTCAATTTAATCAAATTTGTGTGTAAAATATTCTAGAAATATTTATTTCATTTTTTATTTTATATGTTAGTTTATATAAGTACGGAAAACATATTATTCATTTGATTGAGTAAAAAACACTGTAATTCCAATGGGATTAGAATTTAATCCATTGGGATTTTTTAGCTAAAAAATCCAAAAGGATTAATATTTAATTCCAGCTATATGAAAAAAATCCATGCGTCAAAACATTATTATTGAAACGAAATATTTCAGAAATTCAAATTGTCGAATTTTTTTTCAATGTGTAGCATTGCAAATGTTCAAGCGGCTTTTGCAAAGTGATATACTAACACGCGCACACGCACTATCATCAGTTTTGTGCAGAAATCACAATACAAACAAAGGCTTGCCACTGTATGTGAATGGTCGTGTATACTATCGTTTGTATTGTGATTTCTGCACAGAACTGATGACAGTGCGTGTGTTAGTATATCATCTTGATTTTTTGTATTTACTTACCCAGAATTCAAGACCAAACAAAAGTGAATGCATAAATTGTTTATTTGTGCTAAAAATCGTTTGTTTGATGATCAAAATGACCATTGCAAATTTTGTCATAAAAATTAAAGGGCCAGCATATCCGCTAGGTATCGTTTTAGTCGGTTGATATTGAACCAAAAAAACAAGTCCTTAGTGCTTTCAGCGCTTCAAACAAAACCGTTATGAATCTGACTTTTTTCAATACAAAATAATCCCAAAATATTTTATAATAAAAAAAAGGTAAAATGAAATTGTAAATTCAATTTCTCAACACACAGTTTATAAAAAATATTTTATTTGCATCGATAAAACTTAGGAAAACTACAATTATTTCACTGCAAACGATTCCCACTTGAAATTTGAAATAACAACACACTTTCAGTTGTCAATATGGCGAATGGGTGTTGTAACGGAATTTCGTTAGATGTCGCTGTTAGTTTCGAAGTTTCAAACTTCAAATGGGAATCATTTGCAGTGTTGTTTTTCTAAGTTTACTGATGCAAATAATTTTTTTTGTAAACTGTGTGTTGAGAAATTGAATTTACGATTCAATTTTACCTTTTTTTTATTCGAAGATTTATTTAAAAAAGTCAGATTCATAACGGATTTTTTTGCGGCGATGGTAGCGATTCAAGTGGCATATGAAAGCTACTAAAGCGGCCATTTAAATTTTACGCCAAATTTCATAGTTCATATTGCGAACGTATTTATGGAATCATTCAAATCTACATACAATAAGATTTTATTAAGTTTAACTCAAAAAAATAATTGAAAAAAAAAATGAGAACCTATTCAGAAAACTTAAGTCAAATCTTAAGATTTTAGGAAGTTACATACAAAGCAAAAACTGCTTAAGTTTTCTGGACAATTAAGATTTCCGAAACTTAAGAATTCCGAGCGTCCGCTGTACTTTCCCTTGACACGTTGTGTACGGAAAAGTAAAACTTGTTTGAAATTTCTTGAATTAGAGATTTTGCAATTCAGGAGTAACGACAATGATAAACAATGACAGCGCTCCAATTTCTAGGTTATGTCTTCAAATTTAATGCAAACGAGTTCTCTGTATTAATTTTAGAAAACTTGTTGAAATTTTTCGTATTCGAAAAGGTTTATTTTGATTTTTTGAAGAGAAAAATTTATAGAACTACGGATTTCATCTATTCACAAGCGTGTATTTCAGGAGTAATATCTTTTGTTTGATGGCTCTTGGTCTAATATTGGTGTAAATCAGGAGTAATGTGAATTTCATGTCAATGCAAAAATGTGCTATGGAGAGAACAAAAATGTATTGTGGGCAGCACAAAAATGTGCTGTGGAATCACTTCAATTGATGAACGGAATTCCTTTGAAAATCTAAAACGCATTTGACAGTTCTGACAGCATTAATGGGTCGCCATTGCTATGCCTTAAGTACTACGTGACGGGCGCGTAGTTCTAGATGGCAGCATCGGTATAAAATCGTCTCATTGCAATGTTTCGATTAACATCGCTGTTAATAATATGTTATTAACAGCCGATAATAATATCGCAAATTTTCCAATTTTTCGTCGCGGTTTTTCACGGTTTCCCTGGAACTGATAAGAGATATCAACTTGGTGTCTCCGGCAAAGTTGTAGTACTCAAGGTCCTCTATCACATTGCTGAAGACAGTTATCTCTTATCTTTTATCAGTTCCGCGAAAAGTGCGAAAAATGATAAGAAAAAAAAGTTCTATTGGGTCTGGGAATTAATCGTGTCGATTTTTCAAAAGATGGCGTAACTTTGCATGGTTGTATCGGGCAATACTTTTTTCTTTTTCACATGAGTGGTCTAGTGTCAAACTACAAAAATCATCATTTATCATTTCATCGAAGTTTGGATAAACATTTTTTTTTGCGCCTTAAA